AAGGCTCCATTCATTCATTTTCGTTATTTCTGCTGGGTAGAATTCAGGTGATGCCTCATAGTTCTCTAGGAAATTTGCCTCTCGATCCCATTCACTCTTTTGTTCGGATATATGGTGACATCGCTCCACCTGGTGTAATATCTCCTTTTTTTGCAAGTTTGAGAAGGACGACATTTTGAAGTTGTCATCTGGATCAGTCTGCAGAGCACCATATGCAAACAAAGACCCAGGATGGTTGGAAAATTCATTTGAGTTCACCTCAAGTCCTAAATTGTGCGAACCACTTTCCAAGGAAGACTTCTCCTCTAAACAACTGTTTCTTTGGTGGATGCCCAGAGGAAAATCCGATCTTCCTTCAGAAGTAACCATCTCCCCATCTCCAGACTTGTGATGAGTTGGAGAATGGGACGAATGCAAATCAGAACAAGGATTACGCACGGTAGCTCTATCAGGACTCTGCAAATTTTCCCAGCTGACTTGACGCCTCTCTCCTAACATGTCACAATACACAGCTCTTCTTTCTTTCAAACCAAAAGCAGTGCAATTTTCATCTCCCATGACATCTTTTTCTCCGTCATTGAGGAGGCTCATAACGGGTGAGATGGACTCAGAATCATTCTCAGACCAAACTTCAATTTCCCTTTTTAAACTACTATGTTGTTTACTTGGAAAAGACTCTTGTGAGCCAGCTTCGCCGCTTGTAACACCTCCATTAAAATCAAAGAGACCACTGATAGCACCTTCTGCCTCCCTTTCACCTGAACAAGCTGCGAAAGAATCCGGCGACAAATCTAACAAATCACTTAAGTCTTGACTCCATTCCAGTTCTGCCTCGAATGAATCATTACCTAACCTTTTTTGTGGTACATCTGAAAAATGAGAAATTCTTTTCGCGTGGGAATAGTTTCCTAAATCACTCATTTTTGGTAACGTATCACCTGCAACATCCCTCCGCTTGCTTAGTGAATTGCCCGACTCAATATTTACCACATTCATCTGTGCGGTTTCTGTATGGAACATCATTTTTGGTGAGTGGATATCCTTACAGGATGAAAAGAGGGCGAGAATCTGGGAAGCATTTCGTTTGCTGTCACGAACGCATTCATTTTGAGTTTGTAACATGAGATTATCACTCGAGGTTCCTATAAAGACAGCAAGATTCTCTTTTCCTGTAGTTTGTTTTTGAGATGCTACATTTGTAGGGACTCTTTGATCGTGCTGTTCTTTTTTCCTCATGGAAGCACTGTGTTCTTCGTTTGAAGCCCGCAGAACTGTTCGCATCCCATGCTGACACTCTTCTCTTTGGATGGCTTGAAGATATTGTTCTCGTTTGTTTGAATTAGAACGGTACATGTTGAAAAATTCTGTTTCAGCTGAAGGTTTGTTTCCCAAGGCAAACCTATTCAGACGTAGGACTGGATTTTCCTCCCTTGGCTGAAAGAGTAAAGCAGAATTATTTCGAAGACAAATGGTGCAAATGCAGTATCTGAATGAGCAAGAACGCGCCTTCGTGTGCAAAGCAAATATCAAATAGGAAGTAAAATACGAACAAACAAAAAATACATTTTTGCCGCTGTCAAATAGTATGTGCAGTTATGTAACAAAGTTTAGCCGCTGTTTAGAAAAACAGTTACATTTAACATTAATAAATTCGTATATTAACTAATAACAGCCCACTCAAAAAGAAATCGCTAATCTTGTATAAAAATCGCGGCCTCACTCAAACTTCCACTACAGACAGAACCTTCAGGCTTTTAAATCAATATTACTACTTGCTTGGTCAGTACCATTTTGAATGTTCGACTGATTCAGTCTCTGTTTTCTTTTCTTTTCTTTTAGAGCTGTTTTGTAAACACGGTTTAAGTTTGTTTTCTTCATAGAAGCTGCATAAACCAATATTTGTCGAATTCTGTTTAATACCTCGAAAATACAAGTTAGTGACTACTTGAGCCCGATGGAAAATTCCGTTTTTCAGTTTTCTGTTTCTTATTGTCATTCAGTTACAACTGGTTTAACTAAAAACATATTTTGCTGATGTGAATGGCGGGTTACTGTTTAATAGTATTCGTTATCACCTTTTTCATATCTGGCTCACTGGAACAGGTTTGGTTCGTTTGATTACCAAACGGTGGCTGGAAACTCTGGAATGGAATGAAACACCCAACTTGTGATGTGAAATATGCATTCATAGTGCAGAGATCATTGGTTTAAATAAAAGTGTCCAGAAACTGAGCCTACTGGTACGTATACAATACTATAATCAAATGTAAGTTATCACCCCTCGTCTCGTTTCTCTCGAGACGGTCTCGTTTCTCTCGATACGCGTCACGTTTCTCTCGATACGCGTCACGTTTCTCTCGATACGCGTCACGTTTCCCTCGATACGCGTCACGTTTCCCTCGATACGCGTCACGTTTCTCTCGATACGCGTCACGTTTCTCTCGATACGCGTCACGTTTCTCTCGATACGCGTCACGTTTCTCTCGAGAATCACTGAAGCGTTTTGTACGGAATATATTACTAGCAACAAGCCAGTGTGCATATCAAAGACAACTACAATAATGCTACAGATAGGTGTCAACAAAAAGTTCGATCGAATGCGAGACAATGTAGGTATCGATCTCACCCTCTTCGTGTCAAGCAAACATGTTGATCTTTTGCAAGGATATGTCTGCCGCAAGTACATCTATATAATCATATTACTTTCTAGTGTTAATTTTCATTAACAACAGTCTGTAGTCTTACAATTTGTCTGTTTTCACCTGCACTTATGACATGTTGTAAAATTACATTGATGTGCCCGTGCATAAATGTAATTGGGTTTTTATGCGTTTACAAATTGAAAACTGTATTGACGAGCGCGAGACATGAAAAACTTTGATAACTTGAGTAAATGAACGTGTACTCAGTTCTCCTTTAAATTTATCACCAGGAGATAGAGAAACAAGGAAATGACATTCTATCTCTTTAAGAGCTGATTATCCTGGTCTATTTACATTCACACATTACAGGGGTATTCAATAGACATGTAGATATATATTTATATATCTACATGATATATATATATATCTCTTATTAACCAAGCGCCAGGGCCGTACTGGGAGAATATCTTCTGACTGCCCGAGTAGTGTAATAAGTTTATGTATTTGTGCTTGTGACTCAAGGAAAATTCAGCTTACAGTATGAGTCAGGGTCCTGCAGTTATTCAAAGGATAGAAAACACTATCCAACAGATAAATTCCCGTAACATTTGGCCTGTAACATTTGAAAAAACGACCACACCATACGCTTGTTAAAGATCTATACAAAAGATAGCGTCATCCATCCTTTGAACAACAATGGCAAGATCGTCATCCTTCCGCACCTTCTTTCTAAACTAGAGTTTACAACAGCAGGTTGCAACAAGCGGTATTTAACTGCTTCCCACTGGTTGATAAATCTGTTCAATCCAGGTCCACCCTCGGCATTTTACTGGGTTTCCCTGAAACTTTGCTGGTGCCCATTTAATCATATTCATCGGCTAGAAGAGTCAGTAAGAAAGACAAGCCTCTTGCCTTAGGGAGGAGGGTTGGCGTAGTGGTGAGAGCGCTCACCTTCCACCAATGTGTCCCGCGTTCGATTCCCGGACCCGGCGTCGTAAGTGGATTGAGTTTGTTGCTTCTCTACTCTGCACCGCGAGGTTTTTCTCCGAATACTCGGGTTTTCCCCTCTCCTCAAAAACCATCATCATTTGGATTTATTTAATTTAAAGTTTATTTGGATTTATACACAACCCCACAAGCAGTTCAGCTTTAAACATTATCGTGTCTAAATAAAGGTGGTATCATTATTATTATTAACACATTGGCCTCGACAAGAGTCAAGCCAAGTCAACACTTGATCTCAAGAGCCACACAGTCAGTTGTACCAACACCATCCACCCTTTGAACAACCACGGCTATGTTACCATATCTCTTGGGAATGCACCTTACATTTGTGTGAAACAAATGTTTAAACTGCTTTTCCTTCCTATCATGATTGCATTCATGAAGAAAATAAAAATAGACTGTGTAATTGAATTCATATTGTATTTTTTAATATTCAGTAAATCTATTTATTTCATTTTAGCCGTTAATTATAAATACTGCACAGGATTGTATTTTATAAGGTCATTGTATATAAGGTCGATTTCTTTTGTTATTTGTTACTTTTCTCTCGGAAAAATTAGTTTTTACAAGCTACTCTTAAATTCAAGAAAAAATAAAGTTTATGTATGTATGTATGTCTGTAGGTATGTATGTGGATAGAACATGTCCAATACCTGTCTTTTCCTCTTGGCCGGTTGGTAGACAACTCTCTTTGACTCTTGCTGCTCTTCCTCCAATTTTTTAGCAGTTTCCTGGCTGCTGCAGATTGAATGCTGCAGTTTTTCTTCTATAGTTATCAGGTAACGGTCGCTTTCTAATTCTGCCCCAAGAGTCACCTGTTTAAACATCAAGCAATGGCAGCCACAGAAAAGTTATGATATCCATGCACTACTTTCATTTCAAGTTACCATTGCTAAGTCTCGTTGCAAGAAAAGATGGCCATGAAATAAATGGATTATGCTTACCTGAGCCTGCATACAATATATTTTTTTCCCTTAGCATAAGAACTAAATTACTCAGAGCAATACTCTTATTACCAATTAGAGTGTGTCTATGTGTCACACCTTGGTTTACAAGCAATCTGATAACTGAATGGGATGCACCAACGAGACATAGTCCTCATTTAGATACCAAAACTGACCTGTGCTCCTTGTACAAAGAGAGAGTCCAGAGTTTTTGACTCTTCATCATAAAGTATTGCCTGGATATCAAATAAAAGGCACTCTGAGATATATTTTCAAAAATGAAAAACATACATGTACCATGTGGTGAATGATAAAAGTGGGGCTTATTAGACGAGACTCTTCAAGGCAATTTTTAGCAAAACAGTAGAAAGAATTTGGGGCTGTTAGTTAATGACAACCCTTAAAATTAATGCTGATTGTGTGTCATTTTTGTACGAGATGTTGATTTCCCATGTATGAGATTACTGTGTGGTGGATGTCCTCCCCTGGGTGGGATGGGTGGGTGTTGGCCCTGAAAAGCCCCTATGGGGAGTGGTCAATTAACCTATGTATGTATGTGTCTTGCAAATTAACAATTAAGAAAATTGAAATAACAGAAATAAAGTAGTAATAATAAAATAATGATAAAATGGGACCGATAGTCTGTGAAAAAAAAGGAGAAAAATTTCTCTCTATTTACTCCCATCCTTTCCATTCCCACTGCTTTCCTTTCGTCTTTTCTACAGGTTACTGCACTTCTGTCCCACTCCACCATCAAAACAAGTAATATATCAAATTTCTCACATTTTCAGGTAAAAATGCACCATTGTAGGATGTTGGAAAATTAATTAACAATAAATCTAAAGCATCTAAAGCATGCAAAAGCAAAAATAAGACCAATAGTATGCAGCATACCTTAGTCCCTATTATCTTCAAAGAGCCATCCTAATACAGGTCAGAAGGAAAAAATGAAAACAAATATGGAAACTTATGGAAGTCACTGGAAAAGGACAACTAATTTAATAAATTCCATGTTAACTAAAGCTGCTTTGGTTTATTTTTTTAACAGCATGATGGCTTGTAAAAATTTACCTGCCACGTCTTAGCTTTTTTGGTCTTCTGATGAGTGTAAAGAACCTACAGTACATAAACAGAATGGAATATCTTTGTCAAAGTTTGGCACAAGTTCACTGTAATATGAATTTAGCAGACTTTTAACTCCCATATCTCATCAAGACAGAATTTCTCCTTACAATGTCAATACAATATCAAGCACACAAGTAAAGAGAATAATATTTTAGAAAAAAACACAATCAAGGGGTAATAAAAGGAACCAAGACCAAATTCTCCAAAACTACATCAAAAAAAACCAAGGACAATAAGATCTTGGGAGCTAAGGGGTTTATTTTTCCCCTCTGAAGCTTTCTGGCAACAAAAATACGTCATCACTTGCCTACCTTCCCTCAATAAGGCAGTGGTACAACATTTGAATAGAATAGCAACTAGAGATTTACTAGTGAAAAAATAATTACACAACTACTTAGAGAACAAAGGCAAGACAAGCAAATCACAAAATAATTATGCTGTAGATTAAAAATAATAATAATAATAATAAAGAAGCGGCTAAGTGCGAGGAGGAGTTGGGGCCGGAGTTGGATTTGGAACACGTGCAAGGGATCAAGAAAGAGGTGCGGAGGTGCCAAATTGAGAAGTTAGAGGATGAGATCAGAAAACAACAATGGCAAGGGTGTCTAGTGACTACCAGGCTGGAAGATGAGAGTTTGAGTGCCGATGGGTGTTTCTAGTGGCTCACAGAGTGGAAGAACTGCCCATCATACACAATTGCTGGACTCATCGAGCTATACAAGCAGCTCTTGCCAATGCGAGTATACACAAGTCAGAAGACCCACACAAGCGGGGAAGACGAGGTGAGGGGCAGATTATGCGGTAAGGCTCCAGAGAGCATGGTTCATATCTTGTCAGGATGCAGTGTGCTGGCCCAGAGCAAGTATCTCTCTAGACATGATGCAGCACTAAAGGTACTGTTTTACAAACTGTTGTATGATGAGGGAGTTATCGATGAGATACCACCCTGGTACTCACCCGACAAGCTCAAGCCTGTGTATGAGTCAGAGAATGTGAAAGCTTATTGGGATGTTCCTATATAAGCTGATCAACAAGAGGTCAGATGCAATAGGGTGGATGCATGCATTGTAAATCATATGTGCAAGAGAGTTGTGATGCTGGAAATGAGCTGCCTGTGGGTTAACAACTGGACAAGAAAGGATGAATAGAAGACACTGAAGTACGGACCCCTTCGCTGGGAACTAAGGCAGCAGTTCCCAGGCTACGAGGTGAAGCAATACAACATCATAATGGATGCCATCAGGTTACGGTTTTCGCCCTGTGCTGCTTGATTAGAAAGTAGTATTCAGTTGATTTCTCTGCGATTATAATAATATTGGAGAGATTTATTTCAAATCCCACGCAACTTTTAACATGGTGTATAAAATGTTTCCTCAACCCTGTAACAACTTACTCAGTATTGACACTCATTAATTGATCTCCACTAGTACGCATTCCCTTTTAAAAAGGTTTCTTAGACAAGATTGTGTATCGCAATATCCTTATCTTACTAGCGATGAAAGAGTGTCACTGCACAATTGCAGTGTGTGAGCGATAAATCCACTTCTAGGTAGAGGCACGAAAGTATAGAGCTCCGGATGTGAAAAATCTATGATCAACTACCTAACCATTAAACGTATGCTATGAAATCAAACCTAGAGTTAGCCTAAGGAAACGAAAAACCAGCATCGCTTCAAGAACCTACCGAGAATTTATCCCAAGACATCTTGGAACTGCGTGCAGTACTTCAATGAACACTTTCATTTAAATTTTGCTATCATCTCAAAGTTTCCTCGCATCCACGCGATTTATGCGAGCACGTAAGACAGTACCAAACGTAAAATTAATTTCAAGGCAACTTTCACACCAGTTACTCGTTCAAAACGATTTGCAAAGCTTTAAAACCTCGAGTATTTAATTGCCAAGGTAATGTTTAGTTGGCGCCATATATGTATTACGCGGGATGTCCGAGTTGCTAGACCCAGTCCTTGTCGTTTTCGACGATTACGTCACATCTGATGTTGATTACTTGACGATAGGAAATATATTAGAAGTCATCATTTTCTTGCTTTTTTTCAATCAACTGATTCCATCCTTCTCAGCTGGTCGCCGGGTTTGTGCTGGTTAAGTATTAAATGGCAAAGGTGAGCGAAAGATGTCAAATTTAATTTTGCCACGAGACTCTGAAGTCAGTAAGGAAAATTTACAATATTTTCCATACACAATATCCATGTGCCCTCAACCTCGTTCCCAGGGCTTTTCCCTTTTTGAATATTTTGGCGGGCGGGAAAAAGGTCTAATTTTGATGACAGTTGCGGCCCGCCCGCCAAAATATTCAAAAAGGGAAAAGCCCTGGGAACGAGGTTGCATGTGCCCTCTCTTCAACGTTTCAAAATTTCCGCAATATGTTTGTCCAGTTATGGATTTATAGAGTGCATTATGTAATTTGTGGTAATCTTAATGAGCATTAATTAATATTTTGCTGGCACGTATCGGAAGACTCGGGGTGGCTGCGAGGTACGCAGAGAGTGATGGGATCGTGGTTTGTAAGTAGGGGTCGTTAGTAAGGCAAGGCATTCTACAGTCAGCCTTCACCGTATGCAGCTTTTCGTTTTCGTCTTTTGTATAAATTTGGAGCAGTACGTTGCATATTACCTTAAGTAACTATGTAAAAATGCATGTCATTCAAAAAACCCCAAGGGTGGCACCGCTGCCTTGGTCGGGGATACACGTTCCCCTTTTTTTTCCCCTGCTGGATTTTAGGGGTTTTCGTGTCCGGCTTTGGTGCATTTAGTTTACTTCAATTGTAATGGACTTCTGTTAGCATATATCGATTTGGCGTTAAATACACGGTGGCTTGGTTGGCCAACCCGCCCACATACTCTTGTGTGTCCGGTTGAGTAGTGAAGGCAAAATCTGTAGCTGTCAGCAATAGATATTACAAAATATCTTAGACAAGCGGGAGTGTTAATCAGCCATGCGTAAGACTGTTACTTGGGGAAAGCCAGACAAACTAATTAGTTACGGGCGTTCAGTTAAGAAAACGGTACGAAACACCAAACTTCTTGATATATAGTAGGGAGGTTGGGCTAGGTCATTACGCAACCCAGGCCTCTCTCGCTTTTTTTTTTACTACCGCGCTTTGTTTTACCAACTGAATGCAAGAGATCTTTAGTTGGTGTAACTCGTGAAAAAGTAGGCTCGAGAGGGCCGCAATTGTCATCAAAAATTATACCTTTTTTAAGAACATTCTGTAGGGATCGATTGTTAAGTGATAAGTGTACATTCAGAACAGAAGAATGCTAAGTTTTAGTTCTTTGTATTCATATAACCTGTATAAATTACATGTCTTTTGCTGCGCTTTTCCATATAATTTATTACATTGTGGCATTACTGTTGCCTTGCTAAAGTATGAAAGTAATACGATCGTCATTGTGTGAATGTTGGTTGTGGTAATCGAGGTCCCATTAAACTGTAACTCCGCGGAGAGTTTAGTTTGGTGAATGCGTAATTTTGTGAACAATCTTGCCATCACCCACCTTCTGACCAACAACCAATAGAACTGACAGCTCATAAATATTAATACGAAAAATATCTCAGACAATACAACAATAGTGGAAACAACAACATAGGAATTCTACTTATCCCTAAATATCTGTGAGGACATCAAATATTTGCAAACCTCGACTGAACTACATTTACGAGCTTTGATTACCTAAATATGATCAAGAAACTTCCTTAATTTTGTTCAATATTATATTTCCTCAGTAAAGTAGTTAAAGAGTGTAAAATATCTCCTAGTGGCGCAAAACCATTAACGAGGTTCCATAACTTTCAGTGTAAACTGTGAAAACGAGGTAAGTAAGATATTTATTTTATCTCTGAGCCAGAAGATTTCAGTTCAAACAAACTTTTGAATTTAGTGGGTGTAAAGACTTCCTCGGGCTGTTAATTCTCAGACTTCCAAGTATACAAATAACACGAATTGAACTTGGAAATTTTCCCAGAAGCTTCAGCGAACTTCGCTAACCACGTGCGTCAAAAAGCCTTCTCTTCTGCGCGAACTTCGCGCTCAACTTAACTATCTCATACAAAAAAAAAGAAAAATTAACACAGAACAGAAATCTTCTAGAATACACGACATTTCTGATAGTCAAGAATTTCTCAGTAGCACGTGCACCAACGTGGCGCTCTTCAAAAGTAAAAGCTATGTGCACTATAATAACACAATAGACACGACAGTGGACCATAAAGTGAAATCACAGCCCGCTTCATAGCGTGTTTACTAACTGTTAGTTATAATAATAATGATAATAATAATAATAATACTAATAATAATAATAATAATAATAATAATAATGATAATGATGATGATGATGATGATGACGATTATAATCCATCACCTCTTTTGATTGTGCGCCTTCAATACGATAAAAATCATC